TCAAGTTTTAAATATTTCAGGAGGCTTCCAGCACTTTCCTGGAACATTACACAGTCAAACCTGGCAAATTTGAGAGTTCCACCAAAAGCAAAGAGCTCCAGTCATTAACATTTTTCTTTATTTCTTATATAAAAGAAGGATTAAAAACAAACTGAGATTTTCAGAGATGAGCCCTAAAGTTAGGCATGCAGGCCCTAATTTAGGCATTTAAATAAGTGGCATGATTTTCACAAGTGCTGAACACCCAGCAACTGCTGCTGACGCTCTTTGATGAGTGCTCAACAGTTTTGAAAATCAGGCCACTTGTTTGGGTGTTTAAATATGGGTTTAGGTGACTAAATATAGAAACTAATTTTCAATAATCTTAGCCATAGAAATTATTCTCAAATTTACTTGATCAGAGCAAGGTTTCAGAAAGGAAGCGTCCAAACAGCAGTAATTCAATAACATGAACATTATAAGAGATTACATTTTTCTTTGTTTTTCCCCGTATGTCTTTTGGAAAGACAAACACACTGGAATTTTGTTAATTGTGTTACACACACGACAAAAGCAATAAAATATATCCTAAGAAACAGAAAGATTAATGGTTGAAACCTGAAGCTCTACACGTTATCTCACACTGAGTCTACTCCAAGACCAATATTTTACATAGTGGTCAAGAAAACAGTCACAATTTACTTTCTTAATAATGATGTAAATCCTCCTGGGAAACTTTTCTGAAATGGGATATGTGTTCTGTGTTGGCCATTTTGGATTTTGAAAATTGAGTGGATGGCGAATATACACCAATTTACTACCTGTTTTACAAACAAACAGTTTGCCTTTTACAGGCTATAGGGTATATCAGCTGATCACAAGAAGAAATTTGAGTCTGATAGAATCTAGAAATAATTATAAAATATGAATACGGTGAATAAAGTGGCTGCTATTAAAAGTCAGAGATTACTACAGTTTTTCCTTATATCTAGAATAGGAAATATATGTGACAACTCTGTGTTAATAGCTCTCACATGTTTACTTTGTAAATGTTTACTTTTTAATGGCTTCTTCTCTATGCTGCCTTTGATAACAAGCTCTGATTGTGGAAAGATGTCAAAGGGACTGTGTGGGAATAGGGATCTGCTCTTGCAAATCCCTTTACAGGACTGGGACCTTAGGACTTGATCAGGAGAGGTACTGAACTCCTTGGAGTCAGCAGGCATTGAGGACACTTGACTTCTCATTCAAGGTTCTCAGTACTTCTCACGTGGCCCTTATTCTGGAGTAGCTACCAACATGAGCATTCACAGATTCATAGCTTCTAAGGCCAGAAGGGTCGACTCTGATCATCAAGTATGACCTCCTGCACAACACATACCTTAGAACTTCTCCCAAAATAATTCCTATTTGAATCACATCATGTCTTATTGAAAAACTTCCAAACTTGATTTAAAATTTGCATTGATGGATAAACCCCACAACAATAGTTCAGAGAGCTCTTACTTTGTCAAACCAGTTTAAATGTAAAGCAATGTTTTGAACATATTCTTTACTTGGTTGTGAATGGAAATTACCATTTTTAATAGAAGATATGAGTATTTAGGTATAATTTTTTGGATGTATGCACTAGATCTGACCTATATGCATTCCTGAATTTCCTACATGTAAATTGAAGTTAAGGGTCTGTTCAGCTTTCACTCATAATACATGCTTAAGAGGTTTTAAAAAGTATCACTATATGTCTAATCTACAAAGACACTGTGTAAATATATGCAGAATAATTTATATAGGTGGATCTAGTTGGTTTAATACAATATAGGAAAACTGGAAAAATGTATTTATATACCTCAGACACTAGTCTCATGGAGAATACTGCTTCAACATAAGGGTTAGTCAATGTAAACCATCCTTCAGGAATACAGTTTGACCCAGTAAGTCACACAATTATGTTATATGCTCTGAGGCAATCTGTTCTATTTGTTATATTCTTGTGAAGGAAGCTTTCCTCTTTATTCAGAACCTGAGTGCAGTTCCCTATCATCCCATTTCATTTAATACCAAAGCTGTATAATCAATGTCATTTCTACTTCCCCTACACTACAAAGATACTTCCAATCAAAATGAAAGTGATTTTAGATTTTCATTCTTACCTGTGTGGTAAAATTTCCCTGAAAATCCCAGGTTGAAAGTAAAATTTGTAATCTGAGCTCTCAAAAGATTCTGCGTATCAAGCAGGGCCTGAAATAAATATACATAAAAAAATTCATCAGGCACATGATCTTTCTTCACATACCCTGCCCCCCGTATAAAGATCATGAGAAAAATATATTTTCTTTACCTCTTAAAAACCAAAGACCAAATTTAACTCTGAAGTGCACTGCATGCATCTTCATGGAGATCAGTGGTGTGTAATTTATAACCAAAATCCTCCTCCTAATAATAATACCTATCTCTGATACAGTGCTTTTCATCTGTAGCTCTCAAAGCACTTTACAAAAGAAGTCATTATCATTAATTCCATTTTAGAGATGGGGAAACTGAGGCACAGGGAGGGGAAGAGATTTGTTGATGTTCGTTCAGCAGGCCAGTGCCAGAACCCAGAACTGAACCCAGGGCACTGGACTGGGACTCAGGAGACCTATTCCCAAGGAAACATTGACTCCCTTAAGTGTTGATTAGGGTACATACACAGAACATTTTATTGTAGCTTAGAAATTGTTGGCAAAAAAAGTCTAAGAAGAGAAAAAGTGAGATGAACATTGAAGCCTATTCTGCATCAAATAACTGGAATCTACTCCACAATGTCTGATTCACTTATTCCTCAGACAGTTAGCATACTAGCTGTCACCATAAATGTACTTGCACAAAATTAGTACAAACAAAAAGCTATCATGCTGAAAGAAATGGGTTCTTATTATTCCATCAGAGACATCTTCACTCTTCAAATTTCTAGACTAACTTCATGTGTTGTGATTCCAAGAGTTACAAATTATTTCAGGAGACGTCTCCCAAGCAGTGATACTCTAAAAGGGAAACAATGGTTTATTTATTATTTATTTATAACTCCTTGTTATATTCAGTTTTAATAAGAAAAGTATGTTAAGGTGCATATATTTTAAATCACACAAGAGAATAATTAAAATTATTGGGAGAGATTTTCAAGAGGACAGAGGGAGTCAGGCACCCAACTTTCCTTGAAATTCAATACCCTGGCTGCCATTTTTGCCCTTGAAAATCACCCCCAATAATTTTAATTCTCCTTTGTAATTTTAAATATACATGCCTTTCTTAATATCCTTTTCTAGTTATTAATTTCTTAAGAAGTGCAAATAAAGTTATTTAAAAGTAGAATACTCAAGACATCAGAATGTGAGCATCGAAGCATTTGGTAAGGATCTCCTTGTTTATAAAGTAAAGAGGAGCGAGCATTGTTTATAAATACACGCATAAAATATAGCAGAAGAAAATAATATTAAAAAACCCTACAACAACAACAGTGGAAATTCAGAGCCATAAAAAGCCCTCTATCTTCAGTGCAACTGTGCTTGCTTAAAGAAGGGATGAATTTGACCAAAAGAACAATTTTTTCAAAAGTTTTGATGATCAGTGAATAGAGTTAGGCATATCCTGAATTTGCTCCTCAGTTGTTGAGACTAATGCTGATGTTACTAATTGCTAATTATGAGACTAATTGCTTATGTTACACAGCTAAGGGCACAGATTTTGTTACAAGACAGACACAAAACTGAAACCATTGAGAAACATCACTTTTTTTGTTCCATGCTGTCCAGCTTGACCTGGAGCTGAAAGGGTATCATGTTGTTTTCCCCCTGCTGGGCACCCCCTTCTTTGTCACAGTAGAACTAGCAACACTGCCATCAAAGAGCTGTTGGAAGCTTTTCATAAACAAAATGGGTAAGGTAAAGATTACTCTTTCTTCACTGGAAGGGAAAGCTGGAACAGTGTCCTCTGAATAAAGGACTAAAAGAGAATGAGAGGAGTGGAACAAAAATTAAACGTAGTTGAGAGCACGTTGAGAGTTTTCAGGCAGAACACAAAAACAATCTCTTCAGAGCCTGTGCAGCATGAACTCTAGTGCAGGCTGAAAAGAGGTTAGAGATCATCAATGACCAATAAAGGCAAAGGATATTAAAGTGTGGGGATTCCTACTCTGGTTGAAAGTAGAGACTCCATAGGGTTTATTATTAAAATAATCTCTGAGCTGGTGAGATTTGACCCAATGAAGGAACTGATCTTTGCAAACAGATGTTACTGGATACGCAGATGGAAAGACACAGGGGGGCAAGCAAACTGGTAGTACCCTTATTATGATAATAATGGATACCTTTGAAAGAGATAGGTTGCTGAGTTCAGCCTGACAGAAAAAATTTACATATATGGCCATAAGCTCCTATTATTTCTGGATTACATCCAGCTGCCCAGGCCAGAAGAAAAGGTCTTGCATAAACTTTAAAAGCCTTCCAGAAAATGTGATATTGAGGTGCTTGAATACCAATGGAATAGGCACATCAGAAATAAGAAAGATAGAGATGATAGGATAACTGCATTCTTTTTGCAGCATAAAGGAAAGAAAAATTTAGGGCAAAACTCACATTTAGTGAGATAAGGATTCTGCCCCAGAAAGCTGGGTTAAAGTGAAGCCTGAATTCCAGATGAACAGCTCAGAATGTTAATGTAACTTTTATAATTCTTACTAAAGATGACTTCAATTTCAAATGTTCTTTCCTGAGTCCACCTACAACATAAACATTTTCTGACAATAGTCTCTGGCCAGGTTACATTCAACTTCTTTAGGTTATGTTCACTGCTATGGGTCTGTTTCTGAATTGTAAGATTATGATATTGTAGCTAAAGGCTTTAGCTTGCATCCTACTGAGCAATTGTCTAGATACCTTCCTATCATTTATAACATAGTGTCTAAATGACGGAAGAACAGAAGGAAAAAATGAAAAAAGAAATTGTGGAAATGCTGGAGAAATATAGCTTTGTAGAAATTCCTCATTGCACATTTCTAACATTATAGTTGTTACATCATTGATGTGACCATTTAAATTATTTGAAAATGGGGAGAGTGGGAGAGATACACACTCTATATCATCTCTGTGACAACCTGATTCTGTTTTTTAATTTTTATTGAAGGGAAAAGAGAATCAGTTTTAGTTATCACCTTCATTCATCAATGACGGCAACAGTCCTTTTAGCTGAATTTCATGTGGGCCACAAATCATGACAAGATGTGCTTTGCTGTTGAACCTACATGATTGTTTCCTGTCATAAATAACATGTACTAATCTCCAAAAGTAATCTGGAGTTTGTTTTTTTAGAGAGTAAACTTTGAAAGATTTTTTGTAGTCACATAGAATCATAGAAATGGAGAGCTGGAAAGGACCTGAAGTGGTCATCTGATTCAGCCCCCGAAGCTGCGGCAGAACCAAGTATACCTAGCCCATCCCTGACAGGTGTTTGTCTAACCTACTCTTAAAAACCTCCAGCGATGGGGATTCCACAACCACCCTTGGAAGCCTATTTCAGAACTTTATTACTCTAATAATTAAAAAGTTTTCCCTAATATTTATCCAAAATCCCTTTTGCTGCTGCTAACTTCTTGTCCCAATTGCAGAGGACATGATGAACAATTGATCATGGTCCTATTAGTAGCAGTCCTATTTATAGATTTAAAGACTGTTATTAGGAGTGTCCACCCCCTCAAATCTATCTCCCATGTGCAACATACGACACTCCTGTTAATACACCTCAGTATGATATTAACCTTTTGCTCAGCTACATCATATTGTTGGCTCATATTCAGTTTTTGATCCACTCTAAACCCCAGATCCTTTTCAGCAGTGTTTCTACCTAGCCAGTTAATCCTTATTTTGTAGTTGTCCATTTGATTTTTCTTTCCCAAGTATTGTACTTTGCCACTTGTCTTTATTGAATTTCATCTTGTTGATTTCAGACCAATTCTCCAATTTGTGAAGGTCATTTTAAATTCTAATCCCTACAGAGTGCTAGCAACTCCTCCCAGCCTGGGATCGGCCACAAATTTTATAAGCATTAATTAATAAGCATCCATTATCCAAGTCATTAATGAAAATAATTGATTTTTATTAGAATCAATAGGAGTCATGCTGCTAAAATCTTGCATAGCTCTTTGAAGATTTACCAGCTAATGCCCACAGTACCTCTGCCTATCTGCACTCTACTTGTGCTATCTCCAAAACAGGTGAGTGCAGCTCTACTGTGAACTATGTTCTAGACAGACAAGCTGATCTAACATTTAGTTGTCATGCCTATGATTATTTTCTGGGTGACTTGACATTTTACTCATCGTTAAGGTTCTAAAAACAAAATGCTAAACTTTTGAAAAATATATAGCCGCAGATGGCAGGCACTATTACTGTGTGTGTCTGAGAAAAAGACAGAGAGAGAGAGAGAGAACGTGAGGGGGGAGGGAGGACAGTAGAGTCTGAAGTTTAATTTCTAAATGCTGTTTCATGTACTCAAGGTAATCTGGTGTGGGGTTTGTATATTATGATTGCTTTTATGAGCAATCTCTGGCTATCTGCATTAGCTGAGTTACACAAATACAATATTCAGTACTAGTGTATTTTATAACCTGTTCATTGAAGTCTCAATATATTTACAAATAATATTTTTGTCTATTGCTATCATTGCATTTGTTATGCAATATCAGAAACAGTTGGCTGTCCTACTATTATGCACATGGTTAAAATATAAATAATTTTATTTCTTTGCCACTTAGCTAGGACCTTAGGCTGTGGACATTGCTTCCACCTGAGCTCAAGAATCTTTTAGCATTCATCCTATACCGCAAGACTCTCTTCTTTGAAGAGAGAGAGAGAGAGAGAGAGAGAGAGAGAAAGGAAGCCTGCTAAACAGCTGACCACATCTCCATCAGCCACCATCCCAAAATAATCCTTGAGAAGCCAACATAACCTACGAGAGGGATGAAAATGGTCCTGGTTATAATACACTGCTTCTTTTAATTCTTATACACCTATACACCAATATAACGCTGTCCTCAGGAGCCAAAAAATCTTACCGCGTTATAGGTGAAACCGCATTATATCAAACTTGCTTTTATCCGTCGGAGTGCGCAGCCCCGCCCCCCCGGAGCACTGCTTTACCGCGTTATATCCTAATTCGTGTTATATCGGATCGCGTTATATCGGGGTATAGGTGTATCTGGCATA